TATATCAAATCCTTTCAAAACTTCTCAATAGCATATGACAAATATGTGAACCAGTCCACGGAAAGACCGAAATGCAGGCCTGTATTAGGACTAGGGCACTGCACAAACTAGAACACGATAACAATTAATGTTTAATATCAATAACGGTTAACATTGAATATCAAATAGACAACTTTTCTTTGAAAGCACCTAAATAAAAAGCGAATTCTAAACCGTTAAAACATCTGGAGCTACTGACACTACTGATGTAAAATGTCCGAAATGCCTACAACCAATTAAAAAGATGTAAAGGAAAAAGTCAAACCAGCTATTATATGGTCTCTGGTCAAACCATTTCTACACTTTGCAAATTGGTTGAGAAACACACATTTGAGATCAGTATGAAATACAAACAGTACACAAGCTGCAGCAGGTCCCCGGTAATGTGTTTGCAGTGCAATATCCATGTTGTCAACATCATATAAAGTTTATCACTGACGCGACTTATATGATCAGAGCCAAAACTGTGATATGCAAGCATGTTGCTACTAGCTGGTTCATCTGTACTGGGATTTATTGAAGAATATCACGAAGGCTGATATATTCCCAGTAAAGTGTAAAACATATTGCTTTCAGGGTCAGATGAAGATGATGAAGTTTTTATTTGAAGCTACCTTTATCATGTACTGACGATTCTTACACTTACTCCAAATCCAAATCTTATAATATCAGAAGAATTTTGGTGTAAGACTGCGATACAAAGTGTACACATGTTCATACATATTATAGGTATCTGAAACAATAACACCAGTACACAATCCGTTTTACACAATACACAGAATAGCAACACTTTATGTGTACATTTATACATCAAGATCTTATAAACTTGGCCAAAGTTATGCAAATAGTATAAACAAAGTCAAATTACACCTATATAAGAAAAAGAAAGTTCAAATACTTCAAGAGTTGTTTATAATGATATATGGCATTATCTGCATTCATTGTTCAACAAACATACCTTCTACACGGTCTACTTGAGTCTTTCATTCTTTAGGCTACATAGCAGCATGGGTGGCAGCAATATTGTTTGATTTTGTCGAGTTATGTCATTTTACAACTCTATATGTATCAAGCCAAGTGAATTCAGCTGTTTCTCCATGAGCTGTAAAGTCTAACAGCTGCCTATTTATTGCGGCTATCATAATTTCTTTTACTGAAAGGAAACTATGAATGAAGTACAACGAACCTGTGTCATATAGAGGGGGCATTAAAAACCTCAGAGTCGAATCGTAAAATAATGTTGTGTGCGTAGCCCCATATTGTTTACAGCAAATAACACCATCAGATATATTTGAACTCTATGTTGTTATTTCATATATTTTATGAACATTGGAATATATCCTAAATTATGTGAAAGTTTGTTTAATGTGTCTACAGAAAACAAACGTTTAGGACAAACTAAATCATCTACCACTAACAGCAGTGAATCGGAAAGACGAACAAGTAACTGGACCTGTGAAAGTATTTCAGATTAGTTTAGTTATACATATAAAATGAAATATCTCCTAAGGTCAAGTTACTAACTGATCCATTCAGTCAACATACCAAATATTAAAATAGGGGCTACGAACATTTGTTTTCCAGTGCCACAGTTGTTGAAGAAACAACTCCATCCTGAGATTAGTTGATTGTGATAACCTGTACACTATACTGAAGCACAACATGGTCAGGAATGGTTGGTTTCTAACATAGCAATGGGGCTAGCAACTGATAAACACATGTACAAAAAAGGCAATATCTGACTCTCACCTACCTCTATAATGAAGATTATACATGCTTGCTACGTTACATAACAATCATGCTATATTTGTGAAGTTGCTATTCCAAATGTTGGAAAAAACAACAGCAATACTTTGTCACCCCTGATGATAAAGTTAAAACATAGGAAAAATTCGTTATGTGCGTGCGTGCGTGTGGTCTGGTGTAGGTCTACTTCAGATGAATAATAATGATGATAATGATTTGTAAGTAATGGCAGTGCGCAAATTCCAGTGACTGTAAAGTATTCCTAAAAACGCTTCATCTACCCTGTTCACCCGATCCAGAAGTCCCCTCGCTCAAAAAGTCCAGTATAAGTTACTATGTGGGGGTCGATTCTCTTGTGGAACCCCACCGGGGTTGTTGCCTCTACAGATAGGGCGATTGCAGACAGCTGCAGCAGTGTACAGAGATACGGTGTGGTGGTGCACAGAGATACGGTGACCGCAGCTACAAATGTTACATCTGATATGCTTGTTGTGTGTTCTATATATTCACGTCAATATGTGAGAAGTCGTGAATTCAGACTCACCCTGACCCGGAAATCTTATAATATCAGCTATTTTCGGCATTCAAACTTATGATCAAATTTACTTCAAAGTAAAACGTCACTGTTCTCATATGGTTTACGACTTATAATAGTTGTATGGACGTTTACTGTCTGCACTACTCCTGGAAGTACTAACTATTCTAGAGACATGTCTGCAGTACCGTAACGAGCTCTGCTGCTTACGGATGTCCTTTTCTAATTGCTCTAAGCCTAAAGTTATTTTCGATCATTAAGTAAATAATACATTTATTGTTGTCTTATGCTGGAGTATATTTGTAACGCCTGACTGACCACAAACGTCTAGTCGTGTGTAATGGCACTTCATTTTAACATGTTTAAAATGATATATGAAATGCATTAGTATATTCGCTTTGTAATGGTACGTTTTACATGCTAAGGATTAAAAGTTGACATCTGTATACTCGTGTCAAAAACAAACAATAATACATTAAAGCATACCTTAAAATGAAGCATCATCATTCCTCTGTATATGAGCATGAGTAAAATCCAAGCTCGTAAACATAACTGTATTTATAGCGGTAGACATGGTGAGAACTATTTGATGTTATAAGTGTTTATACAACTGCACTGCTGCTTTCGTTAATGGCTAATATTCAAGACAAGGAAGTCGAACCTGTTTTAAAAAAGATACATTTTTATTGACCCATGGATCCAGGATATTATACATTGGTCAATAAATAATGTTTATTTGTACAGTACTGATTTGTAGAGATCAAAGCTAGGCTTCGAATTCCTGTGATTAATTCATTACAGCAAGTCAAGTAGCATAATGCATGATGACTTACACTTTCCAATTGTATGTAATGTTGATGCACTTTGCCTTCTGTCTATCAAATTTAATCATACAGTCTTAGAACATTAGAAAGTCCAGGAAATCTTTCTAAGTGGACTCGTTAATTGTCAGCGATTAGGACCACATAATGCCGATGATTGAGAAGCGCGACGGAACCAAAATGTTGAACATGGTCGACTGGTTACATTTCATTTCATACTTCTCATGACAACATCGCGAACATTTTCACGGGAAGGTTGGGGAGTAAAAATGCATTGAAAAGCTAATCTAAATTTCAATGGTGACTGGACATCTTACTTAAAACATTTTTTATGTGTGAACTTCGCGGGAGAAGTGAGGAAAATTATGTGCGAGTGTGCGTGAGTGAGTGTGCAATGTCAAATACATGTATGTGATATAACATGCTATACACACACATATATGCTGCGATACGAATTTATAGATATGCTTATATTGATTCTTGTCTTGGTTTAAAATGAAACGCATACATCGAGTCGGGGCCACTTCGAGATCAATAGTCTCTGTTGTTTAATACAAGAAAGAAAACATAATAATAGGGTCAAGTTGCATGTGCCTTTCACAACAGTCGTAACTTCCACAAACACTGTGATAGCCTGGCTGATTATTGTAACATGTGATTAATATATTGCAGGAATAACGTTTGTTTCGATTTTTGTTGCTTAAATTTAGTGTTTGATATTTTAATTGACATATTCCTTATCATTTATAGTTTTATCAAGCAGGCAATACATTAAATCTATCTGTAAACCTAGAAATACATTCTAATTTCAGAAAACATGAGTAGACGAAACTAGGATTATAGCTGGGGCTATTTCTTGCTTGTGTATCCTATAGCATCCTTGATCATCTCCAGGGTAGATACCTTACGAGTGATCATAACGTATACCCTGGAGATTATCGAGGATGATCCTATAGTTAACACAAAACTACTTATTAATATAGAAAAAATACACATCAGACAGATGGGATAAATACATGCGAGGTGTCATAATATAGTATGACATAACATAATAAAGTATAGCTGCAGGTTAATTTAATCTGATGATTTTACAGCGACAGATTATAAAACATCTAGTCTCTGAAATAAACATATTTTACAGAAAAAAAGTTTTCTGAATTATATTAATAAATTACAATAAAAAGAAACCTGAAATTATGGTAATCTAGAATTGCCACACATTCTACTTTGCATATGATGCATTGGGTATATTTATTTCAGGGTCTGTATGACAGAATATGTCTTAAATTACAAGTGTTTTCAACTATTTGTTTTGTTGTTGGTGAAAATCAAGGTGTCAAATTGTCGATATGTTCCTGCCTGTGGTCATTATATGCTGGATGCTGGTCTCTAATGTTGGAGCTGTACGGGTAAGTGTATAATAATGCAGCAGCTAATATATAATCCCATTTCTACCAGTGAGAGGTTTTTTTATTATTTATCTCTGGAATCATTTGTGTGGTAAAAGAACACCATTATGTTAGACAAATATGATTACTCAGCATTCGAAGCCTACCTAGCGTTCACGGGATCACGCTGAATGAGTGGCAATACAAAGTCGAGGGCTTAGCCATGAATTCAGCTAATCCGTATAGTGTACTACATTTTCGACCATTGATATAATATATGAGCAACGAATAGGTGTTCTTCATGAATATGTATTTTATGACAACTGCCCAATCGATGTCGCCGTACCAATATGACCACGATGTCTCATAATATCTGCACATGAATGAATTATAAGTACATCTGCACCACGACACACAAATAAAGATTACTAAAACAGAGAATACAATGCAATGTGTATTTATATGACATACCTGTATTTCAATGTTCAATATATCCGCGATATGACTTGTCACCATAATCAGGTACGTTTCTGTGACGCTTGGGTTCAACAAGGTCAAAATCAAGCTTTGATGTCACGTGATAAAAAACGGGGAATCACCTAAAACTAACTGGGTCGATTCTAACCAATCAAAATTGATTATGCTTGACGTCACATTCGCGCAAAAACGAGGACGAGAGGTAGAGTGTTGTTTCTAAACCAAGGCAGAATGGCTATATAAAGAAGAAAGAACGGTCTTATCAATTAAAAATGTGTCAGTGTAGTATTTGTTGGCTAAATATTGCTATATAATTATTGTTGATCTTTTGCATTCATATTTGATATATCTAGCGTTTGGAAATTTTATATTAAAGTTATGCAAGATGAGAAACTAGGAATTATATTTTAGACTGACCAAATTGAATTTATCGATATATATTAACAGTGACGAAGAGAAGGCAATATTCATCACGTTATAGGTTATCTATTTACGGTTTGTACATTCAGATGAGGGGTGGGGGAGAGTGTCGCATCTCTCAACTTCCTGTTTCCAAATGTCACACCCGTAATATCTTATCAATTGGTGGTTTTTTAACTTACGTGGAATAGTAACAGTTTCAGAGAAGTACGCAGAGGTAACTCACCAGTTCCAGGAAACACGTCTCGGGGTCATATATGGTGGTTGAATATCATTCCGTATTGATGAGCAACCACATGGTGGTGGAATATTATTCCGTATTGATGAGCAACCACATGGTGGTGGAATATTATTCCGTATTGATGAGCAACCACATGGTGGTGGAATATTATTCCGTATTGATGAGCAACCACATGGTGGTGGAATAGTATTGATGAGAAACCACATGGTGGTGGAATAGTATTGATGAGCAACCACATGGTGGTGGAATATCATTCCGTATTGATGAGCAACCACATGGTGGTGGAATATCATTCCGTATTGATGAGAAACCACATGGTGGTGGAATATTATTCCGTATTGATGAGCAACCACATGGTGGTGGAATATTATTCCGTATTGATGAGCAACCACGTGGTGGTGGAATATTATTCCGTATTGATGAGCAACCACGTGGTGGTGGAATATCATTCCGTATTGATGAGCAGCCACATGGTGGTGGAATATCATTCCGTATTGATGAGCAACCACATGGTGGTGGAATATCATTCCGTATTGATGAGCAACCACATGGTGGTGGAATATCATTCCGTATTGATGAGCAACCACATGGTGGTGGAATATCATTCCGTATTGATGAGCAACCACATGGTGGTGGAATATCATTCCGTATTGATGAGAAACCACATGGTGGTGGAATATCATTCCGTATTGATGAGCAACCACATGGTGGTGGAATATCAATCCGTATTGATGAGCAACCACATGGTGGTGGAATATTATTCCGTATTGATGAGCAAGCACATGGTGGTGGAATATCATTCCGTATTGATGAGCAACCACATGGTGGTGGAAATATTCCATTCCGATATATTGATGATGAGCAACCACATGGTGGTGGAATATTATTCCGTATTGATGAGCAACCACATGGTGGTGGAATATTATTCCGTATTGATGAGCAACCACATGGTGGTGGAATATCATTCCGTATTGATGAGCAACCACATGGTGGTGGAATATCATTCCGTATTTGATGAGCAACCACATGGTGGTGGAATATCATTCCGTATTGCTGAGCAACCACATGGTGGTGGAATATCATTCCGTATTGATGAGCAAGCACATGGTGGTGGAATATCATTCCGTATTGATGAGCAACCACATGGTGGTGGAATATCGTTCTGTATTGATGAGCAGCCACATGGTGGTGGGATATCATTCCGTTTTGATGAGCAGCCACATGGTGGTGGAATATCATTCCGTATTGATGAGCAACCACATGGTGGTGGAATATTATTCCGTATTGATGAGCAAGCACATGGTGGTGGAATATCATTCCGTATTGATGAGCAACCACATGGTGGTGGAATATCATTCCGAATATTGATGAACAACCACATGGTGGTGGAATATTATTCCGTATTGATGAGCAACCACATGGTGGTGGAATATCATTCCGTATTGATGAGCAACCACATGGTGGTGGAATATTATTCCGTATTGATGAGCAACCACATGGTGGTGGAATATTATTCCGTATTGATGAGCAAGCACATGGTGGTGGAATATCATTCCGTATTGATGAGCAACCACATGGTGGTGGAATATCATTCCGTATTGATGAGCAACCACATGGTGGTGGAATATTATTCCGTATTGATGAGCAACCACATGGTGGTGGAATATCATTCCGTATTGATGAGCAAGCACATGGTGGTGGAATATCATTCCGTATTGATGAGCAACCACATGGTGGTGGAATATCATTCCGTATTGATGAGCAACCACATGGTGGTGGAATATTATTCCGTATTGATGAGCAACCACATGGTGGTGGAATATTATTCCATATTGATGAGCAACCACATGGTGGTGGAATATTATTCCGTATTGATGAGCAACCACATGGTGGTGGAATATTATTCCGTATTGATGAGAAACCACATGGTGGTGGAATAGCATTGATGAGCAACCACATGGTGGTGGAATATCATTCCGTATTGATGAGCAACCACATGGTGGTGGAATATCATTCCGTATTGATGAGCAGCCACATGGTGGTGGAATATCATTCCGTATTGATGAGCAACCACATGGTGGTGGAATATCATTCCGTATTGATGAGCAACCACATGGTGGTGGAATATCATTCCGTATTGATGAGCAACCACATGGTGGTGGAATATCATTCCGTATTGATGAGCAACCACATGGTGGTGGAATGTCATTCCGTATTGATGAGCAAGCACATGGTGGTGGAATATCATTCCGTATTGATGAGCAACCACATGGTGGTGGAATATCATTCCGTATTGATGAGCAACCACATGGTGGTGGAATATTATTCCGTATTGATGAGCAACCACATGGTGGTGGAATATTATTCCATATTGATGAGCAACCACATGGTGGTGGAATATTATTCCGTATTGATGAGCAACCACATGGTGGTGGAATATTATTCCGTATTGATGAGAAACCACATGGTGGTGGAATAGTATTGATGAGCAACCACATGGTGGTGGAATATCATTCCGTATTGATGAGCAACCACATGGTGGTGGAATATCATTCCGTATTGATGAGCAACCACATGGTGGTGGAATATCATTCCGTATTGATGAGCAACCACATGGTGGTGGAATATCATTCCGTATTGATGAGCAACCACATGGTGGTGGAATATTATTCCGTATTGATGAGCAACCACATGGTGGTGAATATCATTCCGTATTGATGAGCAACCACATGGTGGTGGAATTTTATTCCGTATTGATGAGCAACCACATGGTGGTGGAATATTATTCCGTATTGATGAGCAACCACATGGTGGTGGAATATCATTCCGTATTGATGAGCAACCACATGGTGGTGGAATGTCATTCCGTATTGATGAGCAACCACATGGTGGTGGAATGTCATTCCGTATTGATGAGCAACCACATGGTGGTGGAATATCATTCCAGATTGATGAGAACCACATGGTGGTGGAATATCATTCCAGATTGATGAGCAACCACATGGTGGTTGAATATCATTCCGTATTGATGAGCAACCACATGGTGGTGGAATATCATTCCGTATTGATGAGCAACCACATGGTGGTGGAATATCATTCCGTATTGATGAGCAACCACATGGTGGTGGAATATTATTCCGTATTGATGAGCAACCACATGGTGGTGGAATATCATTCCGTATTCATGAGCAACCACATGGTGGTGGAATATTATTCCGTGTTCATGAGCAACCACTGACAGTTTATTGGATGAAAACATAATAGCAGCACATGCATGGGTCAGTAAATACGTACATATTCTTCACATACATGTACTCCAAAAGTCATCGAATTAAAGAAACGCCAATATTTAGACATAGGAAAGAGCAGCATGAAACAATCATCTTCCATTGATGAATGAAGTATCTTTCTACATGACAGTAGAGGTGATTTACAACATTGATGAATGAAGTATCTTTCTACATGACAGTAGAGGTGATTTACAACATTGATGAATGAAGTATCTTTCTACATGACAGTAGAGGTGATTTACAACATTGATGAATGAAGTATCTTTCTACATGACAGTAGAGGTGATTTACAACATTGATGAATGAAGTATCTTTCTACATGACAGTAGAGGTGATTTACAACATTGATGAATGAAGTATCTTTCTACATGACAGTAGAGGTGATTTACAACATTGATGAATGAAGTATCTTTCTACATGACAGTAGAGGTGATTTACAACATTGATGAATGAAGCATCTTTCTACATGACAGTAGAGGTGATTTACAACATTGATGAATGAAGTATCTTTCTACATGACAGTAGAGGTGATTTACAACATTGATGAATGAAGTATCTTTCTACATGACAGTAGAGGTGATTTACAACATTGATGAATGAAGTATCTTTCTACATGACAGTAGAGGTGATTTACAACATTGATGAATGAAGTATCTTTCTACATGACAGTAGAGGTGATTTACAACATTGATGAATGAAGTATCTTTCTACATGACAGTAGAGGTGATTTACAACATTGATGAATGAAGTATCTTTCTACATGACAGTAGAGGTGATTTACAACATTGATGAATGAAGTATCTTTCTACATGACAGTAGAGGTGATTTACAACATTGATGAATGAAGTATCTTTCTACATGACAGTAGAGGTGATTTACAACATTGATGAATGAAGTATCTTTCTACATGACAGATTTACAACAGATGAAGCATCTTTCTACATGACAGTGATTTACAACATTGATGAATGAAGTATCTTCTACATGACAGTAGAGGTGGATTTACAACATTGATGAATGAAGCATCTTTCTACATGACAGTAGAGGTGATTTACAACATTGATGAATGAAGTATCTTTCTACATGACAGTAGAGGTGATTTACAACATTGATGAATGAAGTATCTTTCTACATGACAGTAGAGGTGATTTACAA